GCCCCCTCCCGTGCCGCCGGCCCTCGCCGCCGCGGCGCGCCCTGCTCACCGTGACTCCGTACTTGAGCGCGATGCCCTGCAGCGTATCGCCGGCGCGGACCCGGTGCTCCACATGGCGCTCGATGACGCCGGCGCCCAGCGGCGCCCGCACGCTGGCCGTGCTGCCGTACGAGCGGGTCTTGGTGCGGGCCAGGCTCAGTGACAGCTCGGCCTCCTCGGACTCGGAGCCCGAGCGCGAGCGCGGCGGCGGCGAGGGGGCCGAGGGCCGGGGCGCTCGGGGGCCGCCTTCCCGCAAGGAGAGCGCGGGCGAGGAATCCGCCATGGGTCCTGCGGAGGCCGCCAGGTCGCGAGGCTCGCCAAGGGGGCGGCGCCTTGTGCGCCACCGCCTCTTCTTCCTCCTCACAGGGGCTGCGGATGGCCGTTTCGCGGGGGCGGCGGGCTGGAGGCCGCGACGCGGAGCTGCGGGCCGAGCATGGCGGGCGCCCCCTCCTGCGCGTCCCGCCTTCCCCGGGCGCACCTGCAAGCGGAAGAGCGAGACGAGATCCCGCAGCCACCGGGCCGAGCGCCGCGGCTCCACCCTGCTCGCCGGTGCGGGGCAGGCCCTGCGGTGCGAGGAAGCGGGGCGCACTAACGCCCGCGGCCGCGAGGGCTACGGGGGGCCCATCCTCAGGCGTCCTTGGAGCCGCTGGAGCCCTGCGGCATGCGCACAGGTTCTAGAGAGCCCTGCCCCGACCACTGCAAAACACCAAAGCTTTGCTCTGCTTCCTATATTGATTCCCCAGCAGGCGCCAGCTTTCTCAGACCTCCAAGCTCTCCCATAAAGGGTACTGCCCTCCCCCCACCCGACTGCCCTGATGACCTCAAAGTCCACGTCACAGAAAACATTGAGGCCATTAAACACACACCGTTTCTCCAGGCCTATCTGAAGAGCCAGGAGGGTCCGGGCCTTTCAACATTACAGCAGGAGGGATAGGCCTTTGAACATTACACCAGGTGGGTGACCTCAAACCAACCCTCCAGCTGTTTGGGTTTCACTCTTCACTGCCGGCCCGCCGCCGCCAATTTTAGTCCTGGGCTGCCTGGAACGAGTGACTAGATACAGTCAATTTTCCAGGCTCACTAGCTACATCCATTCTCGTGGCTCGCTACTTAAAATTTACTATCTGCACCCATCTTTTTTTCTTATCAGATTCCTCTTTAAGACACTGAAATCATAACTCCACTAAGTATTATCATTAAATCTACTGATGGCCTCTTATCTCTATTCTTCATCTGAACACTCTCTCCTCAACATGCTGGCTTCTGACAGTATTCTACATAGAGGGGGTATGCATTTACTAGAGTGTGCTGCCACGGTTTCTGTTGTACTCTGGACAGCTCTGCAAGAGGAGGTACCCAATATGCAAGTCAGGAGACTGAAGTTTAATTCATTGGCTGAAGTTTCTATATGTCGCTGAGCTGGACAGAGGCAAAGACACTGGAGCTTGGAGACACCACAAAGGATGGGAGAGGAGCAAGTGGTCCTCACATCACCCTCCCACTCAAAAATTCTTCAATGGCTCCGTGAGGACAGCAGCATTAACATAACTCACATTGGCACCCAAAGTATTCTTTCTATTTTTATTATCCATGCTCTGATCATACCCCATCTACAACTTATCCTGTGCACATCCTGCCAGACAGAGCCACTTGAACTTGCCCCTCTTCCCTACCTTCCTGTTTGCATATGCTATACATCCCCACCTGTAATGCCACTCTTCTATACCCTGTCTGTATTTTTTAAAAATTTAAGGCCCATCCCACATGATACATCCTCCAAGAAATCTTTTCTGATTCTTCCCATGTGTCTCCCTTCCCTAGCCACCCAGTTGTTATTGTTTCTCCATTGAACCCCAAGGTAGTTTGTTCCTCTTGTTTAGCATTTAACTTGTGTTTTGTGTCATATGCTTATTTCCTCTACATGTTCTCCAGTGAGGTGTAACTAGATCTTACTCATCTTTTTAGCACCAGCAATGCCCAGCTCAGAGGCTTCAATAAAGCATCAAAAGTAGTTGAACTGAGGTGTAGTACAAAGATCCCAAAAGCTAAACTGGATTATTTAGCAAGATTGTGCCATACATGAACTCTTGAGTGGTATCCATTGTGCCCATCCCAGGAACTAGAAGAGAGGAAGAATGCCAGAGTTTCAATGTATAATGAGATCAGAAAATACTTCAAGAAAAAGAAATTGTCCTCAAAGAATTCACAACCTAGTAGTGAGAGAGCATATAACATGTCTTCCACTAAGGAAAAGTTTACAAGAACTTGAAGTTTTTATTTGAAGAGTAATGAACTGGGTTATATGAGATGTTATTAGGTGTTCTTTGGAAGAAGTTCAATGATCAATTAATTGGGGAAACACTACAAGCTATATTTCCCTTTTGGAGATTCACAATGCACATTAGAATACTGAAGGTTCTAGAAGGCCTGCAGTAAAGTAAGCTATTAGGTTTGGCTTAACACTGTATTTCCCAGACTCATTTGACCACGGAACCCCTCTTTCTCAGAATTTCAGCAATTTGGGAAGTGCTAAATTAAAGGGGTGAAACACAGGCCTAAATAAGAAACCAGGAAGATGACTTTGAGAAGTCAGAGAATACCAAAAGATAGAACAGTTGGTACCTAAAATAAGGGGCAGAAAATGAGCCAAGTAGGAAAAAGGCTAGGTGATGATCACTTAACTACTTTACAAACGACCAAGGCCTCTGTAAAAATGCAAGAAGAAAAAAAAAGTACCAACAAAAATACAGAGAGATTCAAAAGCCATACTACCTCCCTCTCAGGACAAGTTTCTAAGCTGTCCCCAGTTATTTTCAACTTCTCCTGCCCTAAGAAATCCTGGATCATAAAATACCTCCAAAACAGTTATAAAATGCTCTGAAATAAATCCTACACAATTCTCAGTATTTTCTCCATGATTCCTTTTTGTGATCTTCACTAGAATTTCTTGTAGATCTCAGGAATTAATCAGCTTGAATTAATACTTGTTTGATATTTTATAGTTAGGGTTCTTTGTGAGGTTTTTTCCTTAGATATTGGGGCTGTTTCCAAATATTTAATCTTCCTGTAAATTTTATATTGAATTCTCCATAATCTAAATAATAAAAGTTAATATCTATAATTTATGGCTTAGAATGAATTTTTTTAAAGGTTTTATTTATTTATTTGACAGAGAGAGAGCACAAGCAGGGGGAGCAGGGAGAGGGAGAAGTAGGCTCCCCACTGAGCTGGGAGCCCAATGTGGGGTTCAATCCCCAGACCCCAGGATCATGACATGAGCCGAAGGCAGACGCTTAACTGACTGAGCCACCCAGGCGCCCCAAGGATGAATTTTTTGTATATTTATTTCTCCTTCTTCAACCAGAACTTCAACATTGGTGTTTTGTGTATCTACCTACAACACAGAGCAAACCTCACAATTAATAGTGAAGCATTAGAAGCATCTCCTTTGGGGGTGCCTGGGTGGCTCAGTTGGTTAAGTGTCTGACTCTTGATCTCAGGGTTGAGTTCAACCCCTGCATTGGGCCCCATGCTGGGCATGGAGCTTACTTTAAAAATAAATAAATAAATAATAAAATAAAAGTTATTAGTTGGTTTTAGTAATGTGAGTTTTATCTGTGCTAGAATAGAGTTCTTGACACCATCGGGAGGTTTCCCCATCCTCCACACATTACTCTCTCATGGGGTCTCCCTTGATGCCACCATCTGCCTTTGCCTCTTCTGAATTTGTATGACGACAAGAGATATAGAGGTTCTTTTAAACTTTGAGGCCACTCTTGAAGTAAGAGCCTGTTTATCCTCTAGACTTTGGTGTAGGGAAAGCCTTTCTGCACATTACTGATCTAAACTTCTGGTGTCTAAAGACAACACTACAGAAAGGTATGGTGGTAACCTCAGTGCATTTCCGGTGTAAGTGGGGGGGCCTAGAGCCAGAGCTACTCCATCCCTGGTGCTTCGACCTCAACACCTCTTTCTGCCTCTCAGGCTGGCTTCATTTGTGGGAAGGTTTTTGGTTTTTTTGTTTTTTTTTTCCTGCATTGTTTGTATAAACTTAGGACTGACACTTCATGCAATTCAGGTCCCCTTGTGGAAAAAGTCTCATCCCTCTGCTTTCAAACCAAAACAAGGGAGGGCCTGGTGTAGAGGAGGAAGATGGGCTCTATGGGAGTGTGGATGTTGGCTGGCTGCACCCTGGAATCCTCATCAGTGCAGGGGAGACTGTTACCTGTCCCCAGGGTTACTGTAGGCACAGTGCCAGTACCCTCACTTGGTATGTAAGAGCGGCTCAGTCCTACAGATCTCTCTGTCCCCTCCACAAAGATCCAAGGTTGTCTCTTTTGGACTTTAAGAAAACTTGACAGCATTTCTAAGAGATTTGAAGAATATTTTTCCCTAGAAGTTAGCATAAAAAGAGCAAATGGTTTAAGAACTTTCCTACCCAGAGGCGGAGATACTGGATAACTCTCAATGTCCAGTCCAGCCCATTGGTTTAAGAGTCACAACTGCATAAAATGAATCCCACAGTGTTTCATCTTTTGCAGAAAAATCTCAGTGATGTGATAATAGTCTCACCATTTCCACCACTGCTGAATTTTTACCAGGTTATCAAAATGTGATGGTCATTGAACTTTAATTAAAGTAGGATTATATTACATAGGCTAAGGAGTGCCCAATGATGATCTTCACAGAGCTCTCTGGAAGCTCTTTTCATCCATTAAGGAAACGTACTGCATTAGTTATCTAATGCTATACAACGAGTTACCCCAAACTTGTCAGCTTAAAACAACAGGTGCGTTTGTTGTCTCGCAGCATTTCTGTGGGTCAGAAATCCAAGAGCTGCTAAGTTGGATGGTTCTAGCTCAGAGTTGCTCATCAGGTTATGGTCAAGCTGCAGGCATAGGCTGATGTCCCATCTGAGGCTTGACTGGGCAGAAGGAGCCACTTCCAAGGTGGTGCCCTCACACAACTGTTGGCCAAAGGCTCAGTTCTTCACCATGTGAGCCTCTCCAGTGGGATCTCCATGACAGGACAGCTGGCTGCCCCAGGAGCAAATGATCTGAGAGAGAAAGAGACTAGTAGGAAGCCATAGGACCTTTTATGACCTAGTCTTTTCCATTTTATTCTATTCTTTGGACATGAGTCATTAAGTCCAGCCCACATCCCAGGAGGAGAATTTGACTCCACCTCTTGATGGGAGCAGTTTTAAGCAATTTGTGGACATCATAAAACCACCACACATACCAATGATAAGGGAACTGAAAAGGTAATATTACTCTGCAGTCAGGCTGTCTGGGTTAAGATGCTAGCTTTTTACATATTAACCAAATAACTTCAGACAGGCTACTTCAGATTCTTCAACTGTAAAATGTGGGTTATATGAGTACCTCTCTCATAGGATTTTAATGAGATAAGTATGATGTAAGAACTTGGAGTAATGACTAGTACATAGTGAACACTCAGCAAAACAGCGCTGCTACTAATACCATCATCATCATCACT